CTTTCATGGTAAACCATACTCTTGCGTTAACTGAACAAATGTTTTGATTGTTCCTTTCGCGGTCAACTGAGACACACTAACAATTCCTACTTGTTTCCATCTACTCAAATTAATATCACAAACCTGCTATTCGATAAATTTCAACTCTAAGTGAATTGGAACTTTTATTGTTGATATGTAACGCTTTTTTTTATTTTGTTCCAACTCTCTAACAGGTGTGTTAGAATTGTATTAGGATAACATTTGTTATGTGTTTTAGTAGTGTTCCAAATTAAACAATCCAAGCTAGGGACTTCTCCAGCATTCATTTCCATTTTGTACCATCCTTCATTTTTATTTTCAACTGTCTGCATCCTATAAATATGTAAAATTATTGCTGCTTTATAGTTATTTTGTATGAAAGGATAAGCCAAGGAAAGGAAGCTAGATTTAGACATAAAGCTGTACAGTCTACGAATGTATTAATAAAACTACTCATCCTGTTAAAGTAAGAAACATGTTTGCATCACACTATAAAGCCCTTTAAGCCCTTAAGGACACATGACGGAAATATTCCGTCATAATTCCCTTTTATTCCAGAAGTTGTGTTCTTAAAGGGTTAAAATTTGAAAAAAAATATGATATACTATTCATTCTTTGATTGGATGTCAGCTTCGTAGAAGTGGTCTCTTTTCAATATGAAAATAAAAACATAACCAGTCTGCAAATTTCAATGTGTAAAAACTAAAATAGGCAAGCCTAATATTTGATCCTGTCACTTTCCAAACTACCAAAAAACTTGGACATGGGGGTACTGTTGTACTTGTGAGACATCACTGAACAAAAATGAGTGTTGTAGACCAGTAAAATCTATAATGTTGATGATATCATTGATGACAAGGCAGTTTATTTGTGAAAAATGCAAAAAACAAACAAGCAGTAACTGTGGCCAGGGTTTGTGACTAAGTGGTTACTAAAAAAGACTATACATACCCCATTTTGAATACCCTGGGTTGTCTACTGGTATGCCATGATGGTGTTAATTTTCATTCCTGAGCTGCCATACGGCCTCGAAGGCAAAATAGGACCAGCAAACCAATCTGGTAAATTTCAAAGTGCAAAAATGGAAAAAGAGAAAGCCCTGTATTTGACCCTGTAAATGTCTAAAACCCCAATAAAACCTGTACACGAGGGGTACTGTTGTACTTGTAAGACATTGTTCAATACAAATATGTGTGTTTTATTTCAGTAAAAGTTAACCATGTTATGACATTCACAATTAAAATGACATGTTGAACTTTAAAAATAACACTATTTCTTAATTTCTCACGATTTTTTTGATTTTATTTTTATTAAATTATATTTCATATATACATATTTGATGGGAAATGAAAGTCCTGTTTCTTCTGAACAAAATGATATATAATAAGTGTGGGTGTTCTTAACATGAAAGGTGGATTATGCTTGAACAGACATATAGTCAAATTCTAGGTTTTGTTTTGATCAGCACTTGTACAATTGCCACCGTTATTTGAGGGGTTGATTGATGCTATTTTCACTCTACATAGCAATTCCACAGCAAAAGCCTCAGCTTCAGGATATGTTCCAGATAGCCTTTGTTTAAAGGGACACTATGGTCACCAGAATAACTACAGCTTAATGTAATTGGACTGGTATGTATAGGATGCCCCATCAGGCTTTTTGATGTAAACACTGCACTGATAGGAATATCTCTAGTGGCAATCACTCATAGGGCCACTAGAGGTGCTTCTTGGGTCAGTGCTGCACAATGTGCAGAACTGATGTTCAATGTCTCCACGCTCTGCATGGAGGTGCTGATAGTTTCTAATAGAGCTGTATTATTCAATGCATCTCCGATTGTCAAGTTTGAGCTCATACAAGCTGGCGGAGTGGGTGGCAGGGCCTGCCTCAACGAGACCCAAATGATACTTGTAAAAACGTGAGAAAAACACCTTTTACTCTTTTGACAGGTGGGGTGGGTAACCTAAATAGCACTTTTAGAACTATAGTGTTCCTTTAACTAATGGAATTAGGCAGGGGTGTCATTGTCACAACTTATATATCTTAACCATGGAACCCCTCACTGTAGCTATAAAAAGAAAATCAACAATTAAAGGAATTAAAATAGGGGATGATATGATATTGGCATTGAGTGAACCTACCTTATCTCTGTAACGTATTAGAGAGATTCTGCTAAAATTTGGTGTAATTCCTTACTACAAATTAATTACATATAAGACTCAAGCTTGGACTTTTAATTTAACAACTACTGACCTTTTAAACAAAAATGTCCATATGACTGGAAGAGAACTCATATCCTTTCTCTAGATTAATTTAACTAACTAACTTTAATAGGTTCTTCTATAATTTTGTTAACATGTGGACTGAATTAAAAGAAGAACTTAATAGGTGGAGTGACTTTGAATTGCAATGGCTTCATTTATAAATTAATTTAAAAAAAATAATGGTTTTCCGAAACTTCTGTATTTAATTAGGACAATTCCATTGGTAATACCATCTGAATTATTCAAAAAGTTCAATTCAGATATGTGGAAAAATTAACAGAAATTGAAAGTACTACAGAAATCTAAACAATACGGAGGGCTGAGTCTTCCCAAATTTAAAAACTACTATAATGCCAACAATACACCATTTGCTATCAATTTAGCTTAGATGTAAATAGACCCAGATGGTTAATCTGATAAAATATGCCAATATTCAATAAAATATATTTTATAGCTGCCTAAATCTTAACAAACTAAATTATATATCTTGTTTCCAACAACTAAGAGTTCCGCTGTTTCAGCAAAATGGTCACAGTTAAGAAAAACAGCACTAATTCCACAAATTCAGTCAGGTGTTTTTTTTTTAATTGGACCACAATTTCTTAGTGACAGAGGTAATTTGATTGATGGACCAGTTTAAATACACCTCCTTAATTATATAGTTAATAGATAAGTGACAATATGTACAAAATTAGGGAGCTATCTACTAAACATCACCATTTGTTATCACGAAATATGGGGAAAAATCTCACTTAAGGGTACCAAATTAGCGAGCTGTCTAGCAGACATATTTGACTAACCTTTTACTAAAATGTGAATGCTGGAAAAATATTTAAGCACACATCCAAGCACCATAACAGAACAGTGTGCTGTGTCGGAGTTGTTATGGCACCAGAGTTACTGCACTGCATTTTCTTGGGCACCTTAGAGTATTCTCAGTTAAACATTTTGCTAACAGTAGCGTTTGTTTATCAAGGATCCTAACTATGGTCCACTCTGTACTAGGCAGCAATCACGAACATCACCTCTTCTATGACAGCTGGAAGCCCTCTGGTACCTTGTTAAACCAATAACAAATCATTTAATTACTGACATTGTTTGGCTGCAAGGGTACCACTAGCATCATAAGCACAAGAGAGTACTATAGTATAGTGGTTATGGTACCATTAAACCTACTTAAGGCAAGTCATTGCAATAACCCCAAAATAAATTTAATTGTACAGCAGCATTAGTGGTATGTTCTGTTCTGTTCTAGTTTATAGCCCAATGGTCTGTTGTAAAAAACACATTTCTCCAGTTCTGGATGTAGTCTTTTTCCATCTGCATCAGTCTTCTCCATCTTCATATTCTTACTTCCAGTTTTTTGGATGGGTCAGTGAGTGTGTGATGTTGGGGATTTTGCACAGTGTGTCTCTATGTAGACTGACTGGAGTCCACAGCATCACACACTCACTGATCAGTGGCACACACAGTAGTGCATTGTAGTTGTGCTCGTGGTTGTAATGGGCAATACAGGAGTGGTGTGGTTCGTTAAATAACTTTTTTGGGATATGTTTTTGTGCTGTTTGTGTTGCTTAATTTTTGTGTGTTCGTTTGTGTTTGAGTCAAATTTGAATTGTAAGAAAGAAACTGAAGAAAAAGAAAAACAGAAGAAAGAAAATAATATTTACAAAGAAAATTTTAATGAAATGGAAAAGGAAATGGGGAGCCCACTCACTTGTTTCATTTCAAGGCATAGCATCCAAACTCCTTCAGTCCACCAGATGCGGTAGAAATATTTCCAGTCGCATTGCTAATATCTTGGCGACCAAAAGTCGGCTAACAGCCAGAAAGGCACCCTTGTGGCTGTCTCATAGACAGCCACTAGGGGTGGAGTTAACCCGGAAAGGTAATTATTGCAGTTTTTTTAAAACTGCAATAATTACCAATGCAGGATTAACGGACCTGGCACAGTGCAATCAGACCACTTCAATAAGCTGAAGTGGTCTGGGTGCCTATAGTATCCCTTTAAATACATTCAGTGTCACTATAGCTAACCATTGCATATCTAGGATTACACTGCCATCAAGTGTACAGTTGATGTTCTTATACTCTGATACACTGTTTAATTCTTCCCTCTGCAACTTTGTTCCTTTTGTAAACTCAACACATTTCTCCCATTTGTAAATATCTTTTCAGTTACATAGTTGTGGATATATTGAGACTTAGTTCTACTTAGTTTCATGATTAGTTTTCTTTAGAGACCATGTTTAGGAGGAATTAAGAGAATACAGGTAAGCCATGCCTCACTTTTTTGACATTTTGATCCCCAGTACTCCTGTAAATGATATCATACCCTGTTTTAGGGTTCTACTTAGGGTACGTTTTACTTATAGTCTCTCCTCAAACTTTATACAATTACTGTATTTTCTTTAGTTATATTCGAAATATTAGTGTTATGTCGCTGTTTTCCTTGTTGTGTTGCTTTTAGAGATTATTGGTAAGAGATTGTCCCCAAAGAAGGCAGCTACAGTAAACACTGCACTGATGAATATTTTTAAAGGTAACTTTGTTTTTTTATTTATTACATTTTCTTTCCATTCACTATTTTTAATGCATTCATTTAATTATGTAATATAAATAGGGAATACATTTTATTCCCATATTTTGCATTTAACAAAGTTATGACTACCCAAAACTGGATTTAAATAAACTCTAACAAGTGTTAAATATTGTGTTTTATGCTTCTAGTCTCATTTAAACTTGAGTTACAAAAAGTCATTTATAAGTAAACCAATAGGATAATGGTGCAGTTCTAGAATATGTATGATTATTACCAAAAATAAAAATATACCATTTTGTTTTCAAGAGAGGGTTTCTGTGAAATTAATTATAAAGGAAATTTAGTTCCACAACTGATGAGTTGCTGCTTGAATTTTTAATAGTGCATTGGCAAAGCATTTACGTTTATACAAATCTCAGCTCATTTACAAAGTTCTCAGACATGGTCTTTCTGTAAACACGAAATGATAGCACAGTTATCCATATACATTAGCATAACTCCCAACATTAAGAGATATGAACTCAGGACAGGAGGTGGGCAGACCTAAAGTGACATTGCAAGTAGCATCACTTGCACCACTGGCAATCAGTTTGGCAGGAATACACTCCAGGCTGACTAACAGCAGCTGCTGAACGTCTCATTTTGTGGTCCTAGTGCCCTCAGTGAAAGCTTGTCTTATGAAGCACTTGCGTTGCACTTGCTGGAGATAGTTCCTTGGTGCCCCTGGATGCAGTACATTAGGGAACTAAGTCAGGATGGTGGGACCACAAATGTGTGGCTATGTTGGTATTTCACAATAATTGTTGTGGGTCGCACAATTCAGCATTCTTTTAGAGCAGGGATGACCCATATTTTGTAGAACTACAACTTTCATGATGCTTTGCATGCTTTTAAAATGTCTTTAAGAATGGCAGAGCATCATGGACGCTATAGTTTTAAATCATCTGGGGATCTACCTATTGGGCACCACTGTTTTAAAGTGCTGCCTGGGAGTTTTAGAAATGTTATGTTTCAAATTAGTTAAAGAGACGCTCCAGACACCAATACTACTAATGCGTTTTGGCCTCATTAATATGCTGTATGTTTGCATGCTCAAATCTTTATATATTTATACTTTTATGGATATTAAAAAATGCTTTGAGGAATGCTGCACGTTAAGCCTGTTTCATATAGTAAGGATATCACTACCTGTTTGTAGTGTCTCTGACTGTTTGCTGCCAGGTTGTGGATTTAAAGCAACTCACTCAGTGCTGTTGGGGCTGAGACTGTGTGCATACTTTTGATAAGAAAGAGTAGGGCATAAGGGGGCATGGCTAAGAAGGCAGGCTCATGGTGCCGCATTCTGCAAAAACTATAAAGATTTGAGCATGCAACAAAATACAGCAAATTAATTAGGTCAAAATCTATCAAACGCATTAAAGTTCTATTGGTGCCCAGAGTGTCCCATTAATGGAATATTGCCAGGAAACCAGTGCAAGTGCCAGTAACGTCATACAGGAAACCCATAAATTCACATATCATACCTTGAGAGGTACATAGTATTAGAAGGTTTGGATTCAGGATGAGTGTGCAGGTCTTCAGGGGTTGTCTTAATGATGCAACTTGCATCACTGGCAATGCCCACAACGGGTAAATCCACCCCTGAAGTGACCTGAAGTGGCAGGTCAGCCTTGTATCAAGCACAGCAAGCTGACAGACAGCCTTGAGGCTGCTCCCCTACATACAGGATAATGCAGAGATTGCTACTACTCTCTGAATGATCCTAGTGCCCACCGCAGAGCACGAGTGCATCTATTGATGTATTTGTGTTGTACTGTGGGACACCAGGAACTAAACCGTGAGCCAGGACAGGACACCAAAATAGGGTCTATTTCACCAAAAGCAGGACAGTTTGGAGGCCTGACACACTGCTTGGCAGCTCTTTCAAACCCTGTCCAAGATAATGGAGAATGTCCTGCAGAAGCATTTTTACCTAAGCACACAGTGAACTATCAGATAACAGAGACACATCATAAATCATTGTATTCAGCTTTATAGGGAATTTGTTTATAGCCATGTATGAGCAGAGTCTTCGAGTACCAACGTAGAGAAGAAGGCATTGCAAGCAATTTGAAAACATTGTTAAAAGGTGCATATAGATGGCAGTCGAGCATTGCAATTGAAAGAGTACCATTTTCCATCTGTACAAAAAAGAAGTAAAAGAAAGTCTCAGTAACAGTGTCATGCCCTAGAAAATATAATATATGAAAAATATCATGATGTGTGTTTTAAATGAAAGCTGTCATTGTATTATTATTATTATTAATTAAAATAAAAGATTGCATGTGTTATAGTGTCTGATTGTACAAATTAATATAGAAAGACGCATTAACACATGCAAACTTATTTGAAATAACTAGTTATTAAAAATAGTATTTATTTTAAAGAAAGACATGTTAACAATTGGAGATATTAATTACCCAGACATAAATTGGGATAAATGGACTAGTGTCAGGGTGGCAGTCCGGAACCAGAACCCTGATTCAGCTTATGCGGCTCCCAGGAGCTAGGAGCAGGAATTAAGCTGACCTCCCAGAGCTGAATAGGGAGGCTCTGCAGCAAGAATGTATCCAGTACAGAAACAAGAAAAGACTAGAGATAGGCACCAAACATGAAAACAAGACAGAACTAGTAGAACCCAGAACCGGAGAAGGATAGAAAGCAGAACCCAGAACATGTACACAAGACATGAGGAAAACAAGAACAGGGCAGGACAGGACAGGACTGTACATGAACTGGGAATACAAGACAAAATAAAACAAGACAAGAGATACAAGGTAAAACAAGAGGAGACATAACTAGTCCTACATATGAAATTCATGGGGATTTAGTTACATTATATGATCATACATTGCATAAGCCTGCCAACAACGCCAATGTACCCCATATCTGGCAGGTCCTACACTGCCTAATGTATGCTAAAACAACCAACGAAAACATATATAGCACTAACCATCAAGAAAGGGCAGAAGACTTGAACAGCTGCCTGCAGGAACACTGAAACAAAAGGAATGAAGGAAAACAGACCGGTGTGGCAACATAAAACAAACATTTAAAGGAACCCTGGAGACTGGGAATTTCCAGGACGGAATACAGGAATGAACCCAGAAAAACACAGCATAAAGAAAACCAGACATAGAACAGAAAACCCCAAAAAACCAAGAAAAACTAAACAAGAATAGTAAAAGGAGTACTGGATACCAGAAGCCAATACCAGAATGACCGGCAGCTAGGAACAGGATGTGACAACTAGTAGTTCAGCAAGGGAAATCTGGATTTTTAACCTGTTAAATTACACCTTCGTGTCACAACTGGTTCAAGTACCAACAACTGGTTCAAGTACCAACTAAGAATACTTGTCTGGACCTAGGTCTAATAAACAATGTTGATCTTTTTACCATAATTCAAGAAATAGTGATTACAATATGGTGTATTTTGAAATACACTGAAAAAAGCAAAAGTACATGGGGTATACTAAAACATTTGGTTTTAAAATGTCAATTTCAATAAGATATGGGTAGCTTTACAATATATCGACAGGCATAAACTATTTTGTGAGAAAAAACACTGAGGATAAATGAAATATCTTCAAAGAAATATTAGAATGTATAAAAAAAGAAACAAATTGAAACCAATTAGACTTAGTGGGAAAGTGAATCAAGAAATTAAAAATAAGAGGTAATTTAACACCTTTAAATCGGACAAATCAGAGGTATCCTATAAAAAATATAGGGAAGCCAATAATGCATGCCAAAAGTCGATTTGATTTTTTTGTATAGTCCTACTCATATTTAATAGATCTTAGAACCAGCTCTAGTATGAATGGCGTACAGTGGTATAATCCCCATTTTTAGGATACGTAAGTAGGACTATATAAGACTTATTATATTGTGATTATATATTTCTGGGATATTCTTTTGTAGTCTTCTCTGTTTTACATACGGCTCCAAAGAATACCTTGATCTGGCCCTTTTATAGAAAAATTCTCCTGGCAGAATTTAGGCTATATCTTCTTGCAAATTTTACATTGGGTCATTATATTGGAAATTTTATTGTTATTCTTTTTATGAATGGCTTTTATCTTTCTGTGCTATTTTTACTCATAAAGTGTTTTTACTCTTCTGGCACTACCTCTTTTCCACTTCTTTTTGTACTATTCCAATTGTTTGTAGGGCTAAAAGGGAGCCCTACTAGTTGAGGTGTGCTACCTGTTCATTTAAATTCTCTATTTTGGTTCGGTTGATTAGCGCTGATCCTTCTGGCTCTATTTTTTTTAATAACAACACACAACAAGGATTTGAGAATTGTTATAGACAATAAACTAGGCAACAATGTGCAATGTCAAGCAGCAGTGGTTAAGGCCAGTAAGATGTTGTCATGTATAAAAAAGGGCATTAATGGCGAGGCGGAGCTAAGGGCTCCGATGGTCGTATGGCCGCGGAGCTCAAGGCAAAAGAGCCAAATAAGCAATATTTTCCGCACCTAAACCCAAACCAAAACTTACCCAGGGGCGACCCTGTGAACCACAAAGACCAAATGGGCCGCAAGAGCAAGAAGGCGAAGCCCGACAAGCCGCACCAGAGCATGGACATCGGGGAAGTATGGCGGCAGGTGCACGATGCAGCAGGAGCCAAGATGGCGTCCCTACTCAGAGGCTGCTCAGACTTCACACACGGGTCGTCAGACGAAGAAGGGGGAGACCCCATAATGGCCCTGCTGATCCCACCGCCACCACGGGCGCCACCACATGTGAAGGCCCCCATTCCTGTGACCATGGAGGCTATTGGGGAGCTTATGGCAGACCATCATAAGAAGATCGCGACCGAAGTGGCCATGATTAGAGAGGACATCAAAGGCATAACTGACAGGTTGGGAGCGGTAGAAGCCTCCTCATACAACCACATTAACCAGATCGCAGACCTTCGAGCAACAATCAAGGATCTGCAGCAAAAATCCTGGCAGCACGAACAACAAATAGCCGCCCAAGAAGACAAGCACCGCCGAAATAACCTAAAAATCAGGGAAGTCGCCGACTCCATACCAGAGGCTGAACTCCCACACTTCGTTAGACTCCTCACTGAGATGTTAACTCCAAAGGCAGCGAAAGCGATCACCCTGGAGGGTCTATTTCACATACCACGACCAGCAAAGGCCCCACCTGCCGCCCCAGGGGATTTAATACTAATAATTAATACAGTTTCATTCAGCCAGGGACAAAAAGGCGGTCCTGGAGGCCACAAGAGGTCAGTCAGTTCACCCCTTCGAAGGGATGACCCTCTGCTTCTACACGGACCTCTCGGGAGGGACACTGGCGTGGAGGAGATCCATGAGTACATTCATGGCCCTCCTGCGCCTCCACCAAATCTGATACGGCTGGGGCCCGGGCCGCACCCTCTACATTGACCAGGGAGGCACCAAGCATGTTGTCCACGACATGCAAGAGGCCACTGGGGCATTGGGGTTACTTAACCTCCCCACAGAACACTGGCTCAAGCGACACACCCAGCAGACCATACGCGCCCACCTGGAAGACACTCCGCGAATGCCCCAGAGTTGTATCCCGGAGGCCACGCACGGACTCATATGCCAAGGCCACCACCTCAACTGAACTTTGCCACGTGTGACTCACACCAACACCGCACAATACCACGCAAACATACACCCATGCAGGTTGCTTTGTTGATGTAACCAGGGCTATCGCCTCCTCCACTCACACTCTCCGACACACAATACCTCCTCCAGGCGCAGACTTGTCCCAGGACACACACAATCATGGGGCAGGAGCGGACCCCCCCGACTGACTCACCTTGGGAGAGCCGATGACTTACTACCCCATCACAGACAGACGCGAGCAGGACCTCCCCATCCCCCCTCCCCCGCCCTGACAAGGGGCCCCCCCACTAAACTAAGAGGTGACACCGGGCCGAAGGCAACCCGACGGGCGACTGGATGGACAGATGCGACCGCTACACTTCCGACGGACCGCACATACAACGGGATACCCCCTCCCCGCCTAAACTAGTCACCACCCAGCGCCCATCGACCTGATCCCATAGAACACAACGGTGAGTGACCCCCCCTGGGCGCCTGGGCACATTCCCTCATGGGACTAAAGCGCCACTGACCCCCACACACACACAAACATGTTGACCCCCGGACGACCACACACACACACAGCTACCCACCCGGCACGAAATGTTAATGCCGATACCTGTATTCTTGCTCCTCGAGGCGGCGCCTAAGCTCCTCATTAATAATTTAAAACTGTGTAATTATTCTTAATGTCACTGCCGAAATTTGCAAAATCTCACACCTGAACCTTGCTGTAACGGCAACGTACACACGATGTTCCACTTTATTTTTATGTGTTATTGTTTTAACCAGTTTAATTTCAGCGGACACTACCTTATACCAGCGCCTACTACGCCACTAGCTTCACTTTACATTCAGCGAAGTTAACAATAGGGGCAGCAGTTAAACCTTACCTAGTGCTAACTATTTTATCTATACGGCCTTAAGCATACTTGTACCCTAACGTCACACCGTGGGCAATCGATGAGCTCACGCTACAGAGCACAAGATAGAATGTCACACAGAACTGCTACCAGACCTGTTATAATTAGCTCTCGACATACAAAGATATATTTGCATACAACTACAACACCTTGATGCATATAACAGGCTAATAACTTGCTAAGCTAAGCTACTAATGCCAAATGATGTTTGTAACCAGGCTTCTATATAGAAACAAAATGCGCAAACACGCAAACGACTGTAACACACTATATGTTGACATATGTTGATACACGCTGTTGTGGCGTCTTTGGAAACGATGTACCTACTTGCGCAACCAAAATAAAGAATTACAAAAAAAGGGCATTAGTTCTCGGGATGAGAATACAATGTTGGCTCTTTATATAGCACTGATAAGACCATATCTTGAATATGCTGTGCAATTTTGGGCACCTGTTCTAAAGAAGGATATTATAGCACTAAAAAAAGTGCAGAGGTGGTCTACAAAATTAATAAAAGAAATGGAACATTTTAGCTATGAAAAAAGGTTAACAAATTTAAACCTTTTTAGTTTTAGAAAAAAAGAGGGGATATGATAACATTATACAAGTCTATCTGGTGCCAATACAAACCATTGTCTGGAAATCTATTCACAAACAGGACAAGGTCACACGTTTAGACTGGAAGAAATGAGATTCGGTCTTAGGCAACGGAAATAAATTGTACAGTAAGAACAATAAGGATGGGAAATGTTCTGCCTGAGGAGGTGGTTTTATCATTCTCTACAGATGTTTAAACAGCAATTGGATAAATATTTAATAATTATTTAGGGATATATGTTTTAAATAGTGTGGTAATAGCTTCTTGATCCATGTGATATCTGACTGCCATTCTGGGTTGTAAAATGATTTTTCCCAGTTTGCTGCAAAATTGGAAGCACTTTAGACTATTTTTTTTTTGCCTTGTTTTAGATCAACAACCAAAAAAAATGTGTACAAGGCTGAATTTGATGGACGCACGTATATTTTCGGAAACGTAACTACGTAATACTTTAAAGATACACACACATCAAAACTAGTATTGTGAACTGTAGTTTGACATGGAATTGCAAATTGTGTGCAAATCTAACTGAGCAGTAAAAATAGTAGAGATAGACATTTATTTAAATTTTGATCTACAATTTTCGTAATACAATTATTTTTTTTTATACTCATAGTTAATCTATGTACCAGTGTTTCATTCTTTATTTGTTTTCTTATTTTACTTACTACAAATATTTATGGCGGTGCACAACTTGTGATTATGTCCAGGTTGTCCACATGCCCAGTTGGTGAAATCTATTTTACTGCCATCTACATTTCTGATTCGACGTAACTGAGAAGAAGTGTGATAGACCAAAGAAAAATAGATTAGTGGTAAAATAATGCACCATAATTCATAGAAAATCATATTGCAACAGCACCTATAACAGGTTTCAGTTAATTCTGTCCTTTTTTATATGGATAAATTAACCACATTTACCCGTTTTTGTGACTATAGGAAACTAAGGCCTTATTTGAATACGTTTTCCAAATGATTTAATACTGGTAGAAAAAATATCCAAATTATTTATCTACAAAAATTCCTGTAGCCTTTAATTTGGAAAGTATATTAAATATTAATCAAGGCCAAAGTCTATGCAGATAAGTTATTTGAAAAGTATTTCTAACGAAGTCCTCAATTTAAGCATCAGCTTAATAGTTTTGGGTAAGCTTTCCAAACGATTCCAATCTGTAATAAGTATTTCTAAATGATTTATCTACTGTCACAATTGAAGTCTATGGGAATTTTGGTAGATAAATAATTTGCAAGTTTTTGTAAAAGACTGGAATCATTTGGAAAGCTTATTAAATCAAGGCCAGGTTGTGATAATTTCAAAAGGTTATCCAAAATATTAAATAGAGGCCTAAATAAACTCATTCCCCCTTTCCCTCTCTCCACTTTCTGTGATGCAATTGCTGAGAACGTCATCTGAACATAGAAGAATTGCATCCATCACATGCATCGTTAATTGTTTAATTCAGATATGTACAGGGCCGGACTGGCACACCGGGATACCGGTAAATTTCCAGGTGGGCCGCGGCACCTGGGGCTGGGCTGACAGCCCTAATGGTCACTGATCAGGCTCCTGTAATCCCAGCCAGCCATGTGCGAGCTGTGCGGCCGCACAGGGTTCCATGGGAGCAGGGACAGCCAGGCGGCTGGCACAGCTCACACATGGCCGGCCTGGATCATTTAAAAAAAAAATGTCGGGGTGGAGCCTAGCGTGCGGCTGGGGCAGAGCTTAGCGTGTGGCAGCGGCCGTGGTAACTGCAGCATGGGAAGCAGGAAGTCCCTGCTTCCCCAACAACCGTGTGTGTGTGTGTGTGGCTGTCTGCCTGTCTCTGTATGTGTGGATGTTTGCCTCGGTGTCAGTGACTGTCTGCCTGTGTGTGTGTGGATGTCTTTGTGTGTGTGCATCTGCTTGTGAGTGAGCGAGCGAGCTTCTGTGTGTGTGTGTGTGTGTGTGTGTGCACGCATCTGCTAGTGAGGAAGCCTCTGTGTGTGTGCGCCTGCTAGTGATTGAGCTTGTATGTGTGTCAGTGAGCTTGTCTGTAGGGATCATATGTGTGTGTGCATGTTAGTGAGCTTGTCTGTAAGGAGCATGGTTGTTTCGGAGCCTGTCTGTCTTGAGCATGTGCGCACAGTGAGCTTGTCTCTAGTAAGCATGTGTGTGATCGTGAGCTTGTCTGTAGTGAGCATGTGTGTGTCAGTGAGCTTGTCTGTAGTGAATCTGTGTGTTAGTGAGCTCTTCTGTAGGGAGCATGTGTGTGTATGGGCTTGTCTGTAGGGAGAGTGTGTGTGTGACAGTGAGCTTGTCTGTAGTAAGCTTGTGTGTGTATCAGAGATTGTCTGTACTAAATTTGTGTGTGTGCCAGTAATCTTGTCTGTGTGTGTCATTGAGATTGCCTGTCAATGAGCCTATTTGTGTGCATCAGTAAAATTGTCTGTGTCTGTGTGTGAGTATGCTTTACTGTATAATTTAATTACCCTGAAAGAACTAATATTTTGAATTAGAAGAAGAAATGTATCAATAAAATATATATATATATATATTTTATTTATTTATATATATGTATATATATATATATATATATAAATATAAAAGCTCTTGCACCTTGCACTCAGGCTTCAAAGTTGTGTGACCGGGTGAATCACCAGGGCTCCAGTATCCAGGCAATTGAAATAGTTGGCTGCACTCTCAGATTTCCTTAAAACTTAACTTTTATTTAAATATTTAAGAGAAGATCAACGTTTCAGTCCCTCTTGTGGACTTTCATCATGATCCTGATGCAAATCCACAAGAGGGACTGAAACCTTGATCTACTCTTAAATATTTATATAAAAGTTACGTTTTAAGGAAATCCGAGAGTGCAGCCAACTATTTCAATTGCCTATATATATATATATATATATATATATATATATATATTATAGGCAATTATATTATATACATAAATAAACACCCTACATAGCACAATGACTTATGGGGCTGGCATAGATTTTTTTTCCAGGGCTGTTTCGTATCCCCAGTCCGGCCTTGGATATGTAATGATTGTCCAAATACTAATGCACAAGTCTAGCTCTTAGACTTCACAAAGGTCTCTTAGTGAGACAAAAAACGTTGTCACTTGTTTTTCTCTTGCACCAATAAAGTTTGCATATGCACAATAACCAAATTTGGAATTTTAGTGTCTAAGGCCTCAATGTAATATCCTTCGATAAGCTTTTTAAATGATTTAATAGTTTTGGAAAAGCTTTTAAAGTGATTTAATAATGATTTAAAATATGCTAAATATTTACATTTTCTAATAGTTTATCATATATGAAAAATATATAAAAATGTTTGATATTTCAATATTTTGAACAAAAAATATTTTAAAACTTTATCCAAAAATCTGAAATTATTTAATAAGCTTATTAAAAAATATTACATTGAGGTTACGCCTGTCATTGATAAAAACAACAGTTGGAAGGTATCTTAAACTAGAATTACTTTTTTAATGTTAGCAGAAAACTGGATATGTTCATGACTGATGAAGAAGGATTTGCATAACATTTTTTCAGTTTTTACCAAACCCAATAATTAAATGTAAATATATAAGTCCATAGGTGATTGCAAGTTTTAACCGGGTTGGAGGTAGTTTAAATAACTAAATATAGATCTATAGAACTTATTATTAGTGAATGAACAGGAGTTTTTATTTGTAATGGGTTTCTGGGTAGTACTACACCTACATCTATGAAATCTAAATGTACATCATTTTGTACTGGAGATAAACAAAAAGAAAAAAAAAAACATTTGAATAAAATTAAAACAATTAAAGTGAACATGCCTGGCAAATTCAAAGAAAGTAGAAAGTTAGTGCATGAATGTGAAATAAAAAGGTAAAAGCCAGTGCTTTGCATGGATAAAATAGCCGTTGACTAACAAATATATTTAAAGGAGCACTCCAAGCACCTTAACCACTAAAGCTTGCTGTAGTGGTTTTGATGCCTGGAGTGCCCTGACATCTGTCCTATTGAATGTTTTGACTTCTTATTTGGGAGCTACTGGACGCTGCTCCCTGCTTCCACTACTAATGCCATGGAACAGGAAGTTCCTAAGCAGAAACTTACATTAGCTCTCCTGACAATGTAGAGCTTAGCTCATGGGCTCAGAGCGGTAAGCTAATCATGGCAAGGCTTATCTCGGGCATTAGAAATGGAGGGGGGAGAGATGGTTGGTCAACCCCAGGTAAATAATCAAATTGTCAAAAATTATTTGACTACTTAGCATTGAAATTTATTTGTAAATCACTAAAACAGAAATGTTCAGCAATTGAAAAGAGAATTGCATATTTTGACAAAGATAGCTAAAACTGGAAAACTGTACAATACATCTACACAATTTTTCATTTCCTCTATGAATTCTCAACAATTTACTATTTAGTGATTCACGTTAAATCATATAATTAGATTCTACTTACACATCCACCTCTAATCACACCAATCCAGACAAATCTCACGTGTCTGTTTATACACCTCACAAAACGAGCAATGTAATTATTGGCACACAAACTGTGGATTGAACTGACATTCCCATGCAGGCGTCTGCACCGTCTCTGTGAACAACATTGTAATTAAGAAGTGATTGCAAATCTATACACGTGAATAAATTACACCATTACTGTTTTAATGACAAAATGCATCCAAGACTGCAACTATACCTTCAGTAGGACGATGGAGGGAAGAGGGAAGGAAGTCAAATGTTTAATTGTGTGTTACTATGTAAGGTGCAAAATTGGTAAAAAAAAAATTAATCCAAACTGCTACTATGTAATTACATGTTTCCATTGTGTAAGTACCATTGGTTATTTATTTTTATTCTATATTCTCTGCTCTCTACTTTTATTTATAATTTATTTTATTATTATTATTATTATTATCATTTTCCCCTTTTTCTCCCTTCCATCTTTTTATTTCTTTCATTTTCTTAGATCACCAGAACCACTTTGGAAGCTACGGGATCATATTTGCACTTTTCAGATTAAAAGAGCTATACCTTTATAAAGAGACACTAGAAAGCCCTCAGCCAAACATAGCTGGAATAGAAAAGTTTTTTATTTTATCCTTACTCATAGAATTTTAGAAAATGGGGGAAGGTTGGAAGCCTCCATGTTCAGTTAAATATATAGCCCACAATAATTTCACTGGCTTAGGTTGCATATCTCTGGTTGGAGGACAGGTATGCTGATATTTAATATATTTATTTAGTGCATTTTGAATACCTCCAGGGTCATTCACTAAAATGTCAATTGTTGTAAATTCAGAGTGAATTTCACATTTTTGAATAGGAACATTTTGGCTACATATTATGTTCTGGTATTTTAGCCACTTAAAAATTCACATTAATTTCACTCTGAATGTCTTACAGTTAACACTTAAGTGATTAATTCCACTTATATTGAAAATATCTCACAAAATGAACAGTAGAAAAAACATTAACTTAGTAGCTTAAATTAATGACATTTCTATATTATAGTTAATACATACAAAGATGCACGCACTAACCTGAGCTCTAGAAAAGGTAGTACATTGGCCAAAGAATCTGTAGTGACATTTCTCATCCCCTGGACATATTTTGGGATATGTGGTTTTGTCCAGGGTCACAGAGACATTTTGGCATTCTTCAGAATTTCCTTCACTTAGAAGCGAAATCTCTGTATTTTCTTGGGCATCACAGTCTTCCTCAGCCTCTTCTCCTAGAAGGTAGATTAAGAATTTAGGTCAATAAAAAAAAAAAAAATCTTAAAATTATTAATGAAATTGTGATTTAGTGGGAATTTTAAATTAATTCAATGTTACTTTCAAATTTTAAGACAAAATAGCTGAATTGCAAAAGTTATATAAAACTGCTATATTTTTATATCAGCAATTTTGGTCTAAAATTTGAATTCTCTTTGAATTCACTTTGAATTTCTAACAATCCACACTTTAGTAAATAATACACACTTTAAAAAAAATAAAAACCCAATATTAAATGTATTATTAACTCACCACTTGTTTGAGCAGAGACTGATCCTACCAAGAACAGCATTAACAGAAATGTAAACATTTTTGCTGGAAAAATAAAGATAAACTGTTACAACAATATCCATAAAGAAAGAAGTCGAAAATTAACTCAAATTTAATTTTCCCTCACCTTCTCACTCGGTTTCTGTTTTATTGTGCTTGTGACTTTCTCTAAAGCATTTGTTTTATACAACAATTTTGGGTAGTTGTGGTTTTAATATCAAAAAGGAACAATTATAACTATGAAATAGGTTGTGCACACACTTATCTTATCTGAGGGAGTATATCTTCAGATTAGAAATTTGTGATGAAATAATTTGTGCAGGGAACTAAAATATCTGTGAGTTTATATTTGCAGATAAGACTATTTTATCTTTGCTTTTAAAAAAATTTGCACAGAGGACTACTTACTACTATTTATGCTCAAAATGAAATTAAATTAGAAAGAAAAATACTATTCAAATACACATAACTCAACAATCTATTTGACTTCACTTTACATTTGTATATTTTTTTGTTGATATATTGATACATATTTAAATATGTATGCATGTGTGGCAGAACCACTGTTCATTCAAATACTTTCCCCTTTGCATGGTGAGTTCCCCTGGCTTTTCGCATCTTATGCCCTATTCCCCGGTCAGAAGCGTTAATACGAATGGAACCCGTTCGTCCCCCGAACGGGAACTACTCCGGTGCCCCATTAGAATGTTCACACCAATTAATTAGAATGTTCGCACCTGTAACATAACATAAGTGCAAAACCGCAAGGGAAGTAATTAATAAGTGCTCTCCTGGGTGGCCGCAATTTTGTATAGACGAACGCCAATCAGGGGGAGCGTTCATATCCCAAAAGGAGAGACTTTCCTTGCATGGTTTGCATACAGGAACATCACGAACAAAGCCTGGTCGGGGAAATGTACTTTTGTGAGGGTTCCTGAGTTTGCTGGGGGCACTTTTGGGTTATTTTGGTAGACTTTTCTGTGCCTGGGAGACAAAGTCTTTTCCTGCACCTTGGTTCCCAGGCACAGAGGCTCTTGGGATGAAGACCCTGTCATCTGTGTTGGGAGACCGCTTGCCTGGGTGGCGGCAACCCCCCTTTCCCACGCTTTTGCTCCCAGGTATAGAGGATCCTTGGATATGACCCCTGTTTGTTTGGGCTATGCATAAAAGCCGCGTGTAGTTCAATAAAGTGTTGCTGTACTCCCAGAGCTGTGTACTCCCAGAAATTGGTCTCCTGATATTCTAAGTGGTTCCTGAGTGGCTGAAGAAAGGTATTAGCAGAGGTAACCGGTCGGGTTACCCGTGATTTGCTACAACTGGTGGCAGCAAACGCTGCAAGAGTTGCTAGAGGCCAGAGCGCAATCGGCCAGCAACGGACCCAAGGCTGATCTAATTGCTGCCCTCATGGAGGATGATCTACTAAGCGGTGACCCCACTGTACCGCAGCCGGAGGGTGAAAAGGATGCCTTCAACAAAGAGATGACCCGTTGCCTGGCGTACTATGGAGAAACCCCCTCAGTGGAAACCATGGCCAGGACCATCTCAGAGGTACAAGCCTATGTCTTTGCTCAGAGAGCTTGGACGAACCTCTCACCACCCCACGAACGGCAAACAGGGGAACTGTCCCCGGGGTCCAGCAGCTACTGAACAAAAGCCCAAATTGCCCTACAATACCTTTAAGACTTTTATTGAATCAGAGGAGGGCATTGATGACTTTCTGCAAGATTTTGAGCGTCTCTGCCTACTGCATAGAGTTGCCACAACAGACTGGGTTTCCCTTCTGGCAGGAAAGCTCACTGGGAAAGCTGCAGATGCCTACCGAGTCGTGCCCGAGGACGAGCTGCGGAACTATGCCATTGTAAAGCAGGTCCTGTTAGCTAGATATACTGTGAGCCCGGAGGCGTACCACAGGAAGTTTAGAGAATCCAAGAAGGGAGAGAAGGATTCCAATGCAGAATGGGCTTCTCGTTTAACATTTGCAACAAGCCAAGTCCCTAGAGGAAATTCTCCAACTGTTCCTGCTGGAGCAGTTCTACAACGGCTTGTCCACCAAGGTGCAGGAATGGGTGAAGGACCCCAAGACTTTGACAGAAGCAGCCAAATGGGCAGATAAGTGCTCGCTAACCCTACCGTCCCACTCCTGTTAACAGCTACCGACCCCTGGTGCATCCTACCCCACCATCCCCTCCAACCTTCGCAACCCCATTCCGAACCTTGCCACCTCCCACACCAACCCAGAGGGCACCGAGCTATCAGAGGGCAGCTGTCCAGTGCCATCATTGTCTCTGTTATGGGCATCAGCTGAGAGACCTGTTCCAATGGATCTGCCCAGGGCCCCCTCCTGTACCGCGGCCCACTGCTATTAGGCTGCCCCCACATACGCTCCAAACCCCAGCGAGGAAGCCTGGACCGTAGTGCACAAGGCAGATCCCGTACAAGCTGCAGCAGACAACCGGGATCATCATAGGCAGCCGGTCAAGCTGAACGGGTGCACAGTACAGGGTCTGCAAGATACCGGAGCCACCCTGACCCTAGTGCAACACCAGCTGGTCACCGAAGAGGAAAAGACCGGGGAAACTGTCGCTGTCCATTTAGCAGGGGGAACCGTCCACCGCCTACCCACGACCAGAGTCCATCTCGACTGGAGTGCTGGACACAGGATGGTAGAAGTCGGACTCATGAACAACCTACCAGCAGATGTATTGCTGGGCAATGACCCGGCCCAGCTAACCTCCACGTATATGCCCACTGTCAACCCTGAGGAGGCATATGCGGTGACGATAAGCCCGCACCACCCAGGACGACTCACAATCTGAGGCTCAGGTAGGCATCAGGAACCTTCTCCTTGCCCCGGTCCCCTTACCCTTGGATACCCCTGCCGAGTTTGGGAGGGAAGTAGTCTCTAACCCTACCTCCAGACCTATAGGTAGTCAGGCTGGGTAGGAAGGAGAGCAGTTTATTTGGGAGAGGGGATATCGCATAGCGGAACAGGTATGTTCAGGGACTGCTCCTACCACTACTAAGCAGCTGGTGGTACCCAGGAAATATCAACGTGTGCTGCTGAAGATAGCTCTCAATATACCACTGGCAGGGCATTTGGGAGTGAGTCATACCAAGCACCGACTCACCCAAAGCGTCTTCTGGCCAGGCATCTCAAAAGATCTGTGGCAGTATTACCTGTCTTGCGATGTCTGTCAGAAAGTGGGGAAGCGGGGCGACCGGTACAAGGCCAAGCACCAGCTCCTATCCATTTTTAAAGACCCCTTCGGCAGTGTAGCTGTTGACAAGCTGTGCTAAGCCTAGCATCTCTGGGAAGAAATATATTCGATATCCCGAGGCAGTCTCCCTAAGCAATAGTCAGGCAGAGACGGTAGCTGAAGCCCTGATGTGAGTGTCCTCCCGGATGGGTTTTCCCTGGGAGATCATCTCAGATCAGGGCACCCAGTTTATTGCCAAGATGTCCCACCAACTGTGGAGGTTATACAGCATTAAACCGATCTTGAGCTCCCCTTACCGCCCCTAATGGCCTGTGCGAGCCATTCAATGACACTTTGAAGCAAATGCTCCGTACCTTTGCAGCGACTTGCAAGGATTGGGGAAGATTCCTGCTGCTTCTCCTGTTTACTTATCGGGAGGTGCCCCAGGAATCTACAGTATTCTCTCTGTTTGAATTGTTATTTGGGCGGAGAGTTAGAGGGGCCCTAGACCTTGTCTAGGAACACTGGAAAGTGGAAGGGGATCAAGATCATCCCAAATGTGCTGGAGTAACTCACCCACCTGGTGTGTGGGAACCTCCAGGCGGCCCAGACGCACCAGCGCACTTGGTATGATCGGGGAGCAAGGAGTCGTAGCTTTCAAGTCAGTCAGAAGGTTTTGGTTTTTTTAATCCCGTCCGGCATGACAGGTGTAACAGAACTGTATGTATATGGATTACATTTATTTTCCCTCCATTCGTCTGTTGTTCAGTTTATTTCCCTGCCTGTACAGTCCCTATGAGTTCCCCTGTTAAACTACCGAAAGCCGCACGAAGGCGCGACCACCGGGAAGCTATTGTGTGCAGTCAATTGACCACCCAGTAGCTTCGGTTAACCGCAGCTTAATTGACTATTACTGGTTACACTTAGCGGCCGCTAGGTGGCGGTGTTATGGAGCTCCCCGGACGGCCAGTGGTGCTCAGCCCGGAGTCAGTGCACTAAAAGCGGAAACTTTTACGTGCAGGCACCGCTGAGCCTCCACCCTTCCCTGCTTCTATTCGTGGCTGTTTAGACGAAAGCTGGAGTGATCGGGACTTTTTCTATGTGAATATGTTAACCCAGATAGCTATACCATGGAGCCTATTCGTGTAATTAAAGACTTTGGCTCCATGGCAATTGAACTGTGTGTATAGGATCTGAGCGCGATTCGGTAGTTATGTGCACTCAGATCCCAGCTATCTGGGGATATGTGACATGTATGGATTTTATGTATTAAATGTAACACTGTATGTTTTAATGTTTTTACTGTCTTTGTGTCCCCACGTGTATAATGGAGTTTTGCCTCTGTCCTGGGAGATAATTGGATTACTTCCCAATTATCTCCAGGATAGAGGGAGGGAAATTAGGATGCATTGTGGGGATGTTTTACTTCTGTGTGTCTGAATGTGATACATGTCTGTCTGTGTTACAGTCTTCCATCTGGTCCCCTAAGGGAGTATCCACCAGGTGGGAGACCTGCATAAATACTGGGCAGGTAACCCTGAATAAATCAGACCACTGCTTGACCCTCAAAACAGAGCTCTGTCTCGTCTTTGGGGGGGATTTACTTTATGCTGTTAGAGATTGATTGCCAGGAGTGTAAGCCGCTGGGGGCTGTAACGGCACCCCCAGGCATAAAAGGGTTAAACTGCCGTTTAGGGATCTTCCCCTTCCAGAGACACAGGCACAGCTACTGCAGAACACCAAACTCCCGAACAGGATACCAAGTAGCACTCCAAATTCCCAAACTGGAACCTCACGAATAGCTGCTAGCAGCTGAACAGGAAAAGCACCCAAGCAGCTTACACTCCTGGCAATCAGTCTCTAACAGCATACAGTAAATCCCCCCAAGAACGAGACAAAGCTCCGTGTTGAGGGTCAAGCAGTGAACAGTCAGAGCTGTGGGTTTATTGTGCTTATGTACATATTCTTACACATTAGTACCACCCACAGGGTTTTGGAACACAACCAATAAACACATACAATACACTCAGACACTCCCACA